CAGTCTGAACTCAAGAGCAGTTCAACCTTCACATGGAGAATGTCCTTTTATCAGGGTCACCGAGTCACTAAACTTGGAAAAGACACATTCATTGCATATATTTTCTCTTCTACACTTTCTTTTCTCTCCATTTCTCTTTGTGGATTTTGGTTTCCCTGTATGGGCCTCTCTTTGTTTTTCTATCTCCTCCTATTTCCCTCAATCTCTCTCTGTCTCTGTCCCTGTCTCTGTCTCTCTGTGTCTCTGTCTGTCTCTGTCTCTCACACACAAACAGAATGAACAATTCCTTTACATGCTCACATCCTTTACTTCCACAATCACTTTCTCCATGAAAAAGAGGCAAGTGAGAATTCAGGAAACCTGTCAGACTGGTAATTTCTGCATTCATCACTATCCTCTCAGAATAGAGAATGACAGGGGATGACAAAAGTGCAAGGTCACAGAGTGCTTTTCACATCTCTCCCAAGGCTCCCTCTCACACTGGCTGTACACCACTGATGCCCCTCTGCACCCCAGGCCAATCTACCCCTGTCTGAGTCAATAGACAAGGGAGGGGAGTAAATTAGCAGTCATACCTCCCCCCGCCCTCATATACACACATGTGCACCCACCCACCCACCCACACACACACACACACACACATCTGGGATCAGGGTTACCTGAGTGGATGTGGCGGCCATGGATGGAGGCAGTGGGTTGGATCAAGATAATAATTAGGTGCCCAGCTCAGTGCTGGGTGAGTCCATCATTGATGTGTCTCTGCTTTTATTGGACTGTGTATCTTGCACACAGGAAAATTAATCTTAGAGTGTGAATCAATTTGCTCAAGATCACACAGCTTGTAAGAGGAAAGCTGGGATTGGAACCAAGGTCCATCTGACTGCAAAACCTGTGTTTTATCTCCAAATGAGGAAGTCTTTATCCAAGACGACCAGAAGAAGGGTAACTTAATACAGAGAGTCTTAATCATGATGTAAGACTCATGTATCAAGGTCATGGCTAGGAAGAGTGTATGAATACCAAGTCAAAGAGTGAAATGAAGTCCTGATTATGAGAGAAGTAGCTTTTCAAAATAGAGGCGTATCAAGGATGCAGTGGCCTACAGTAAATGTATCAGGCTGGGACAAGAGACTAAAAACTTCACATGGTGCTGAGAGAATGGCCTGGGAGCAGAGGTGATGGTTAAAGGAACCGGACAGACTGAACAGCTTCCAAGCTAATCACGCCTGGGTCTGGAGCATCCAGGGATGACGTCAGCTAGTCAAGTTGCCTTTTAGGGCCCAGCTCCTCCTGGCTTCTGCCAGTACCATCTAGTTGACTTGTTCGGTGCTCTGGCTCCCTCTCGACTGGTGTAACGCCCATAATACCCACTTGGTGATAGGAAACCCCAGCTCCCTGCCTGACCTTCTTAGTCCTCGGTGTGACCAGTCCTCACTGGAATCGTTGTCAGAAGCTGGGTCTGTTATCCTAGATTTCATTTTGCCCTGTTACAGGGAGTCCATACACAGGTATGGCCCACCACTCCCCCTTCTGCACCTAGAGCAGACACTGCTAACTGATCACAGCTCTCTTTCCTGATGATCCCTATGACATCCGTCAGGGGTGCAGACAAGCCACTCCCCAAATGATCAGAAAGCTACAGGCCACCGTACGATAGTGACTAGGTTCCCTACCATGTGCCGGCCACCTCCTTTTTTCTAGCTGCCTATCAGTGGATTAAGAAAAAAAGGTCTATGATAAGAATGACAAACTGTTGGAAGGCTAATAGTGGCTGGACCAACGTGAGGACTGCAGCTTCATCTTGCCTCCTGCAGTGCCCCAGCATGTGTCACAAAGTCTGCGGAGAAGAAGCACTTAGGAAATACCAGTGAACCAGGGATTAACGAGTGATACATGTGACTTTTTTTTCCCCTGTGGCATGCACACTTTGAAGCACTTAGGGGAATGAGAGTCAAATAAACCTCGCATGGGAGATATTTTAATCAGGCAACTCACCCCAACCTCCTTGACTTTCCAGTGATTTCCAGTGGTCAGATCACAACAGTGGCCAGACCCCAAGTAAGCCTCGAAAGGCTGGGACTTTTGTTTTTAGTGTCTTGGGGACACTGGATGTGGGCTTGGGCTCAGGTTGGAATTTAAACACCAGCTTGTTCAGTAAAGAACTCTGTGGCCCTGACCATCCCCCCTTTTCTCCTTTAAGTTCAGGTTTCCCTTCTCTAAGAGGAGGGGTGAGTACCCTTGTCTCCTTTGCCTCAAGGAGTAAGGGGAGGGCCAAAGGATGGCCGTCTGTAAACTAGACAAACTGTGAACTAGACAAATGTCTGTGGTTGCTATCCATTCCCTGTGTGGTCTCTTCTCCTGACCTCCTCTTCCAGCCTTGGCCCTTCTAGTCAAGAAGAAACCACTGTCTGGGGAGAAACAGAGATTTCAAAGACTCCTGGAGCCCTCCGCCCCGACCCTCCTAGGTTGAAAGGCTATTTGCAGGGACTGTCCTTTTCTAGTGACATAGCTGCTTCTCAGGGACAAATGAGGACCACACATTAGCAAGAGCTGTGGCCAGGACTACAATCCTCGGCTGATGCCCACATGTTCACTACATATTAAGCTACTGTTTTTTTATGTACTTAGTGTATGAGAGGTGTTTTACCAGTATCCTCTCATTTTATTCTCCCAAGCGCCATCCAAGGGAATTATTATTCCTCACTTAACACACACGAGGAAACTGAAACATAGAAGTTACTTTGCCTGAGGTTACCTGGCAGGGATGTAAGAAGCAGTATCCGGACTTGAAATCTTATCTGTTCCACTTTGACACTGTTCTGTTCATCCTCTTCCCACAGACTCTGCCCCCAGAGTGATCAGCTTCCAAACCCAGATGCATCCTGACCTGGTCCCCACCGAACCTGGGTTTCGCAGATGCCAGTGACACACAGTTGACACACAGATGGCGGGGGAGAGAAGGGACACACGCCAACCATCTCTGAGCCAGAGTTCTCTCCATTCTTCAGGGGAAAGTTCTCAGCTTCTCATCCACCTCCTCCCCAGCATCACTTCCAAATTTAAAAAGTAAAATCTTAGTATTTGAGGTACCGTCCAAGTGGTCACATCAGGTAGAGAAAGAAAGGAAGGAACACACACAGACCAATCAAGCTGGCCTCAGTGTATGCCTACGCTCTTCTTGGGAGCAAGCACGGAGGACAGAAGTGAGAAAAGTGCCTTTGCACTGGAAGCCCAGTGAGTAAAGCTACCGTCCAAGTTCATCCAGCAAATCTGTGGCAAATTTGAAGGCTCCTTGAGTCTCTGGAGGGGGCCCCCAGCTGCTCTTTCAGCATTCTGTCTGCCCCTTCCCCACCTTACTTGCCATAGGTTCCATGCATCCACTGTATAAGGAATGGGATTTTCTGGAGTGAAAAAGCCCAGGGACTGAAGGCAGCTGGGGACGGATGGTGGGATTCAGCATCAGAGCGGTGTCCCAGGCCCCAGACGCTGGACAAAGCAAATTAGTTCAGTAGCCACCGTGAGTGAAGGTTTTTATAAACATAACCTAATTGTGTTACTTCAAAGTCCGAAAGCTTATTGCCCTGCTTAATGATGTGCCACGTTATTTATAGGGTAGTACAATGAGACTTCTATTGATTTAATGCACTTCCTTAAAGACTGTCATTGTCACAGCCATAAAACGAAGCTATTCCCAGGCAACTCAATTATTCCCCTGCGCCTATAAACCGCCCTGTGCCCCACACAGTCGCACAAAGACAGGAGGGAGGGGTGAGACCACGATGGGGGTGCAAGCCCCCCGGGGACAAGGGGAGAGGGTTCTGGAGGAGACAAAGGCAGGTGGACAGGGCTTCATTCTGCGCGACAAGAGTTAGACGGGGAGTGCGGAGCACCCCACCCCGTCTCGGCCCTGCCCAGAGGAGCTGCGTAACTCTGAGCCAGCTTCCTCCCCCTCAGGGCCTTAGTTTTCCCAGCTGCAAAATGGGAGAGCTGAGCCCAGTGAGAGCTGTGAGGTCTGTGAGTCGCGGTTGATTTGGTCTTGGACACAGGGTGGCTGGGCCACACGAAGGAGGTGCAAGCACCTTTTTAACATTGCTTCTTGCACTATCCGTCAATTGAGGGCCTTTCTTTTTAAATAAAATGGTAATACTATTAACAATGATAATGGGAAGACGTCCTCGCCCTACTATGGATTAGCTGTGTGTCTATGGGTATTTGACCTGGCCTCTCTGAGACTCATTTTCTCCTCTGTGAAATGGGGATGTGCAAACATGGACCTGTTATAATACATAACACATGTATGCAATATTTCCATCTGTTTTAAAATGCTGCTGCATGAACCACTTCCCTTTAGTGTAGGAGGGAGACAGGAATAGCTAAAGTGCCCATGTCACAGAAAGGGAACACTGAGGCAGGAAGGGAATGGATTTCCCAAGGTGAGTGGCAGAGACTGGTCTCCTGCTTCTGGTCTGGGAAATTCCCATCCTGATAAAAACTGAGAATCGGAGGGAAATGCGATCTGGTGACCCTCCAGGAGGGTAAAAGCCTCTGCATGGAGAGACTTGAAACTGTCCCCTCAGACATGAGGTGATCGTTCCTAAAGGCGCAGGAGCTCTTCCTGGGCTCTTCCAAGAGGCCCGGAGAGAAGGAGATGTCAAGCAGACACGCTCCACTCCCCCACAGCCTTCCCCCTGGCAGTTGTTTTGAGTGGAGAGAGTGCGAAACAAGGTGCCTGCGGTAGAAGCTTCCAGAATTCTGCAGTTGAGAACACCCCTGGGGTCTCAGAAAATGCCTGAACTGAAAGTATCCTGATAAATTACTACATGGCCCCTCATTCTGTCCATGGTGAAAGTGAAGCCCAGAGAGGGGCAGGGACTTGCCCAAGGACACCCAGTTGATAGACGGCAGAGCCAGAATGTAGCTCCCAGGGCGCTCGGTTATCTCCCCAGCCACCTCGCCCCCATACTAAAGGCTGCCACCTCCAACAAGCCCTCCAGGCTTACCTTTCTGGTACTGGAGCCACAGCTGCTGCTGGACCTTCTTGCTGGGAAAGTGGATGATGCAGGTGAGCTCGGAGCCGTAGAGGGCCTCTGCGATGTAGTGGGAGCCGTAGTGCTGGATGAAGGACAGCAGCTCCTCCCGACTGCTCTCCTTGGTCAGGATCTTGAGGACGTTGGTGAAGCCTGGATAGAGGAGGAGCACGTGGAGCTGGTCAGACTTGGGAGGCTGGGGGCCAGCAAATGATAAGCCTGGATTTGGTGCCTCATCCCTCACCGTGGTATCAGCCTGGTGGCTGTGCCAGTCCGAACATACACAGCATTTCCTCACTCACATCCCAAGACTGCTGTCTCCAGTGGACACACGAGACACTAGGACGGAGAGGGAGCTGACAACAGAGGAAGGACTAAAGCTGGCAACCTGGACCACAGGGACCCAAAGATCACAATCTGGAAATCGGAGCTGATGTCTACTGAGCAACCAGCCTGTACCAGGCACACTGCTGGGTGTTTCAGCCAATTTGTCTAGTTTAACCTCAGCACAACACTGCAACCCCGACCGTAATGGGCCCCGTTGTGTCGATGAGCAAGTTGGAGGTCAGAGCCTGGAATTGATCTGCCTTGGTCCTCCAGCCAGAGGAGCTGGGACTCCCACTCCCTTCCGCTCTCACCCCAAAGCGCATGCATTTCCCACTGCACTCGTAACCTAGGGCTTGAACTTTCTGCGGCCGGAGCCTCGCGGCTGTGCCCAGGCTCAGCAGACATGCTCAGATCTGCTCCCTGACTATCTTTCTGCCACATCACCTCCCATTCCGCCCCTGACATGCCCTCCCTAAAACAGTGGTATGTTCCTTCTCCTGCCGTGGTCAAGGGCCTCCTTGCTGCTTCACTGTCTTTGGTCCTTTGCCAAAAAGACATGAGTGGTCAGAGCCCAGCACGGGGCATTCACAGCACGCACTAAGCAAGCACTGCTTGCCTTTCTGCTTTTCCTCCAATAGGCGGGTCACCAAGCTACTCTTCCTGGAGTCTCAAGACCTTCTGGACTCCTCCTTGCTATGGATAAAGCCCAAAGACCTTGTCTGGGTGTTTCAGACTCCCAAGGTCATCTCCTGTGAGCCACCTACATCAGGCTTTCCCTCCAGACAAATCAGTTTTCCTATTTCTTTCTGTGATCTTGGATTTCCATCATTCTTTCTTTATTTATATCCCTCCACCACTCCCAAGGCACACACACACACACACACACACACATCCCACCATGTACCTGGGATGGCCTCCCACTTCCTCCCTAAGTCACACCCATGATTCACAGCCCCGGGAAGTCACCCCTTCCCCAAGAAGCTTTGCACACCATCTTAGCTGGGATACCTACTCTTTGCACCTTCAACAGGCACCATCTTGGAGGCAGAGGCTCTGTCCCATTTGTCTCTGGGTCTGCACATGCATCTTTCCCCACCCCCACCTACCAGGTCCCCGGCACAGCTCCCGGGACACAGCACACACATCAACACCTTATTACAAGAACAACTGTTTCCATGCCACATCAAAGTAAAATGCAAAAGAGCAAGCTCTTCTTCAGCATTAAAAATGAGCTCCGATTTGCCAGCGTTTGATTTACAAGGGGGTCCTCAGGAACATCATTATTGATTAATTAAAGCAGATACACCTTTGTAGTTCTAATAGGAACACTACAGTCTTATTCACAAGTGTGGTGTAAAGGTGTGGGTGGTGGTAGAAACAGAAACAGGGCTCAAAGAATGAGCGCTTGATTAGAACAACCCCTCTCCATAAACCTGTTAACTCATGCAACTGGGTAATTAACACAGCAGAGTTAATGATGAGATGGTTTCTGTTAAGTAAGAAATCACATCATGGAGAAGCCCTGTGGTTCTTTATCCAGGCAGACTACACTGCCATCAGATCCCTGCTCTGCTCCTGTTCTGCCAGTGACTAGCTGTGTGACCTCGGGCAAGTTACTTAACCACTCTGACCCTCAGTTTTCTTTCCTGAAAATAAAAAAAAAGGGGACAAAGAATGCCTTCTTTTTGAGACTGATGGAAGTCCTGAGATATAAAACATCATAAAGTGCTTGGCAGATGTCAGCAGTAATTACTATTTTTACTTCCCAATTTCCAGGCTAAAAGAGTTCTACGTTCCTCATGAACAAAGTGATACTGAAAAAGAAAAGATAAGAAAAGAGCTGGCCAACAATGAGGAGGCACTCGGACAGCAACCCACGACAGTGTTATGAGTAAAAGCCGGGGTAGAAAACCCGAGGCCAGGCCCCACCTTTCCAGAGTCCTTCACTCATTCCTTATTTTTCAGTTTTCATTTATTTTTTAGCCTTTCATCAAAAAGGAGCACCAACAATGTGCAGGAATTCAGGGTCTAGGAATAAATAGGATGAAAGCCCTGCCTGCAGTTCTCACGTCAGTTGGGGAGATGGACAGGATTCTGATCTGAATCAAGCACTTGTTAGTGCTTTAATACGGGCAGTCGAGCACAGGGAATTCCTTGAGTTACTCTGAGGGGTACATGAAATGGAGAGGCAGCTCCGAGCATTGCAGGATGTGCAAGCAGATCCAGGCAGAGGGAGCAGCATGTGCAAAGTCACAAGACATGAAATAAATGTCCCATGTTGAGAACTGCAAGCCATCCCCCTTAGCCGAAGCACAGGGTTTATGTGGGCAAAGTGTGGGCGATGTGTGGGCAATGTGTGTGTGTGTGTGTTGGTGGGCGGGGGGAGCAGAGAACGCCTTATTGCTATGTAGATGGACAGGAAAAGAAATCAGCCACCAGAGACGAGAGGAATCAGTGCCTAAAAGAACTTACAAGCCACATGCCTGAAATACTGGCAGAACATAAATGTGACTGAAATTGTCACTTACCCCTCTCTCCTATTCATCCCACCACACCCTATTCAGAGCCTCCCTTACTCCCCAGAATGGACAGCTGCCCTACTGCTGTGTTGACCTCCTGCCATGTGTGGACATCAATGTCTGTTTGCCCAACCACCTGCCCTCCCTGGGAGCTCTTTGATGGCAGGGAGGGCGTGGCCTCACTCCTTCAGCATCCCCTGTGCCAGCACTCGGCCAGATCCTGGGGAAGATGCCTGGCATCATGCTCAGTCCCCTGGCTGCCGGGCAGTGGTCCTCACCTGCTGAGAGGGTGATGGTGCTGAGCTTCACGCGGTACAGGTTGCTGCGGACCCGCCACTGTTGCACCATGGGGTAACCCATGGCCTCGTCATACCTGATGTCGCCTGGAGGAGGGAACAAGAAGCCCATGTAAGCCCACATCTAGAGGCCTCACCCCACAATCCCACCCCGCAGCCCTGGCCTCTGGGCAGAGGCTCGGCCCTAGACTGCGGGCTCTCTCTGGGGCTGACAGCTTTATCTGGATCCCACCTCCAGACCTCTTCCCCTCCTGGCCTCTGATCTCGGCTCTAACCCTGTCTTTTCTCTCTGCCCCACAGCTTACATGGCCCCTTTACCCTACAAGCAAGAAGGGATTTAAAGTTCCACTTAGCCCTGAGGGCAATTTGCCAGGGGATGCTAGACGTCATGGTGCCTCGGTTTCCCTATCTGATACCATGACTCCCTAGGCTGACCTTATTTCATAGGTGCCTTGTGAGACTCAAAAATGAATTAATAGCAGCGGAAGTCCTCTGGTGACCCAGAAATGCGTCCCTGCAGACTGGGGGCCAGTGAACCCCAGCCGCTCATCACATTGCCTAAGGCTACTTTTACACGATGACGGCAGAGTTGAGCAGTTGTGACAGAGACCGCGTGCAAAGCCTCATACATTTACTATCTGATCTTTTATGTTTGCCCACCCCAGTGTGGACCATTGCTTCCTAACATGGAAACACGGGATGTCCTTTGGTATAATGTAAAATACCCGTGTGGACAGACAAAAGGTTCCCATTTCAAACAAGACTGAGAAACTGGCTGAACAGAGTTGAACAAAATTCTTAAAAAACTATAATTTCTCAGGACCTTGAATAAATTAATATGCATTTTAAAGGTACACGAAGGTAGTGTATAGCATTGTGCAAACTTCTTTGGTCAAGGAGCCCTGCTTTTAGGGTCCACTGGAACTCACGTTCCGCAGGATGCATTTTGCAAAACACAAGTGTAGATACAACATAAACAAAGGAAAAACACACAACAAAACGTTAGCAAGTGGTTAACTCGGAGTGACGGCTGTGTTAAAGATTCTTGATTTCTGATTTATATTCAGCTCTGCTTTCTAAATGTTCCTCTCGGATCACTGCAGACTTTCTTATAATCAGGAAAAAAGATTCACAAAAAAAAATGCTAATCACATCAGCAGTTAGCAGTATTGTTGTTCTATACCCTCTGCAAACGGCAGGCACATTTTCTATCCTTCTCTCTTGTCCTCCAGTGAGGAGGTACTTAAAAAGATATTTGATACCAAGATTAAAATGAGAATCTCATTGGAACAAATGATTTCTTCCTGGACATTACTGCAGTATTAAAGTTGTCCATTACTGTCATTTTTTTTTCCTCCACAGCCTTTTCAGGAATAATACAATTTTTTAGAGGCTTTCATTTGAAAGTAAAATATTCATGATCCCCAAAGGTATGTCCACTGGAGCGAGGTTGTTTTGTTATAAATATGTCCTCTCTGTTTATCTGCTCTTCCCTTCTGTCTTTCCTCTGCAGACACTAGGGAGAGGAGGAGAGCGGGTGGAAGAGAGGAGGGGGCCGTGTTTCGAGTCAGGGCAGAGAAACAGTCTGCACAGGAAGACCAGCCACCAGCACCCAGGCAGCCTCTGCCCCATCCATTAGGGCTTGTCCTAGTTCCGAGCAGCCTCTGCGGGGGGTGTCGGTGACCGGGGCCATACCCAAGACAGGGAGGCAGAGCACTTTGCTGCAGGCTGGTGATGCAGCTCATTCACTTGGTGGCATTGTGTCCAAAAGGAAAAAGAAAAAAAAAACTATCTCTTTTGATTATTAAGAAATTCACAAAACCATCTCTGTCTCCCACCTCTAGGCTTCCCCCGTAAGTGATCATCACTCCATCCTCACTTTCTCCCATCCCTGGTCCTTCCTGGGTTCCAGCCAGGAATATAAGCCCCTTCAGTGAAATGTCATCTTCTTGAGGTCAAGGCCATGGTCTATATTATGCCTACTCCTGCAGAGTCAAAACGGAGCCTGGCGTAGAGTAGGCTCTCAATAAATACCTATCTGTTGACTCACTCACTCACTTGCATCCCATTCCTGACCGTAAACTCATCCTTGGTCCTTCCTCAATCCCTGACCCCCATCTTGCCTGACTCCATCCTAGACCCCCACCCAAGGATTAGGGGTAAAATGAAACCCTGGGATGAGGGAGGTTATTTTTTCTGGTAATTAAGAAGAAATTAACTCTTAAAATGTGACAGTTCCTTTATTAGGACCCCTCCAAAGATACCTGCATTGAAAAAAAAATCCTAACAGTGTGTACCACTAATGCAGAACCACAAGGTACTGTATCACAAAGGCAGAGCAAGGGCCCTTGAATCTTGGGAAAGCCTCCCAAAAAAAGAGAAAATGAAGAAAAGCAGAGGGCACCCTGCAGTGGGATGAAAACACGAGCCTCAGGAGAGCCTGCAGAAGAGAGCTTCTCAGTAAAGGAGAGACAGGCTGTGGGGGGAGCGGGGACGCAGGGAGCCACAGAGTGGAGTGAAAAGGGCAGGAGACCCGGAGCCACGGCAGCTGGTTCTAGTCCTTGTAGCTTCGCTGTGTGACCTTCAGCTGGTCCCTTTACCTCTCTGAGTCTAGACTCCTCATCTATAAAATGAGAAAAAAATAACACCCACCCCACAGGATGGCTCAGTGCCCGTGCTCATGAACAAGCTGTGTAACTAAAGTGCTTTCAATTGAGAGAGGTTCCTGGTTGGGGCGGTGGGGTCCACTTAGTTTATTTTAAGATGAGTTAAAAATGAACTGCATGACCTCACTTATAGATTCCACTTTATATGGAATCTAAAAAGAGTTGAACTCTTAAAAGCAGAGAGTAGGATGGTGGGCGGATGGGGAAAATGAGGAGATGCTGGTCAAAGGGTACAGAGGTTCGGTTATGTGGGATAAACATGTTTTCGGATCTAACCAGTGACTACAGTCATTAATACTGCATTTGCTAAGAGAGTAAACCTGGCCTCAGCTGAGAGCTCAGGGAAGACCCCAGTTCTGCACAGCCAGCAGGGGCCCAGGGAAGGGCAGGTCCCTTTCACATCCCATCCCCCTCAAATGTGGAGGCCCAGCGGACGTGCTGAGGGCTGATGTGTCCTGGAGACCAGGCACGTCGGCAGGGAGGCCGGGGAGGGGCCCAGCGCATGTGCCTTACCAGTGAGCCGCTGGAGGTCCGGGAGGGGCTCGGAGAGGACCCCCCGGCACTGCTCCTCCACCGGCAGCGGGATCACCAACAGCCCGTCGGCCAGCTGAGGGAAGTCCTTGATGAAGTTGTTCTCCCTGTGGAGAGGAGCAGAGACACTGCCAGATCGAGGAGGACGCAGAGGCTGCGGGGGCGGCAGGGCAGGAGGGCAGGAGGCTCGCAGGCAGAAGAGAGGCTCACGAGTGGGTGGGCGGCCTTGCTGCATTGCCTCTGGCTCCCTGAGTCCCAGCTCTGAGAACATGGTGCTAACAACAGACTCTAGACTCTGGCAGCAGGGGCTTGAATCAAGGCTCTCCACTTACTAGCTACACGACCTCGAGTAGGCTCCCAGTCCACTCAGAACTTTAGTTTCCTTGTCTATAAAAGTGAGATCTCAGGGTAGTTATAAACACTTCATGGGATAAAGCTGCCAATTGCTTAAGACACAGTCTGAGGTTCTATAAACTGTAAATATGGTTGCTAAATGTCCCCTTACATAAGCAGTGACGATGTGAGCCAGGATGTGAGAGAACTGAGGACAGCATGGAGTGCTTGAAGAAAGAGGGGGTGAGGTTAAGCTGGAGAAGGGAAGTCTGGAAAGAATAGGTGTTTGTGTGCTAAACGGAGGATCCTAAGAGATCTTTTGCATCAAACTGCTCCTTTTACACATGGGGACACTGAGGCCCTGAGAAGGGGAGCGAATTGCTCCCAAACAATGGGTTAGACTCAAAACCAGGTCTCCCCACTCCTAGGCTAGTACTCTTTCTTGCCCTAACTTCTGCAGGTGCCTCTGTCCCTTCCCTGCAGGGCCAGCCCAGGAAACAGAAGACAGACTCTGGGCTACCCTCTGGGCACTGAACCCTGAACAAAGGTAGTCTGGAGGGGAGGGGAGGGGTGATATGGCATCACAGGGAGGCAGGCTTCAATCTTCTAGACAATAGACCTGCCTAAAAATTGAACAGCCTGCCACTGAGAGGTGGTGAGCTTGCTGTAGCTGGGAGTGTGCAAGTAACAAGCTTGACAGCCACTTGGCATGGACAGTATCCAGGGCATTTCTGTACTCAAATCTGACTTTTGAGGTCCCTTGCTATTCAGAAATCCTCAGAGTTAGAGACACTCCCCACAATCTGGAGAGGACAAGGAGGGGGAAGAGGAGCAGGAGGAGAACAGAGGGAGGGGGATGTTTATCACTCTGTTTTGAATGGGCAACCTTGAAATGAAAATCAGAAACTGGCAAACAAAAATCTGTGATGCCAAAGCAACACGTTTGAAGCTGGAGCTCAGCTATGCGGCTATGCAGGTGCTGTGCGGCCTGGGTCACCTTCCTGTTTGTGCTCACGTCCCCACACATTCCACCCCCAGGCAACTGCGAAGCTCACCACCGATTCACTCATTTAGTGAACACCTTCTCCGTGTCTGATCCCCTGAGCAGGTCAGAGTCCGGAGGAGGACATATTATCTCCATCTTCCACATCACCAGCATCTCCGTCATCGTCATCATCATCATCATCATCTCTGACCATTTATGTATTGAATCCTTATAATTTGCTAAGATCTTGCTAAGCACTTTACATCCCTTTTTATCATTTAATCTTCATACTGACTCAAAAGAGAGCTATCATTATCTTCATTGTACAGATAAGAAAAAAATGAGGTGCAGGGGTAAGAGGTGGCAGAGTTGGGGTTGGAACCCAGATCTGTCTGACCGCACACCTGATGAGGTGAGCGGCTGGGGCCGGGACTGTCTGCCCAGCATGCATGTGCACGATGGAGAGTTTCTAGGTCCACACGTGTACATTTAAGCAAGCTGTTTTGTGTGTCATAGGTGTGCCCTCGTCTGTCTGTGGCACCGTACTTGCTTATGCCTACACGTGTGCCTATGCTCATGGGTGCTGCCTAGGTGTTGGAGGCTGGCTTTGAATTTGTCTGTAAACTTGAACATGTGGAACAGCCATGGAAGTGCCCCCAGGTAGCATGTAAACTTGTCAGAGCCTAAGGAACTAAGTTTCCTCCTATCCCCCTCATGAGGTGGCCTCTGGTGATACAGACCTTCCCTTAGATACATAATGAGGTGGAGGGTGTCCCCATGTCCTGGGTATTGAACCAACATGCGCTGAGCACACACTCTCGGGGTGGAGCCCTGGGCTGGGTACGCAGGATCCAGGGATAGACTGGATTCTCTCCTTGTCCTCTAGATCTTCTCAGCCATGTGGGGGAGACAAGGCATCAGCTATGCAGAATACCCAGGGGGACCAGCTATCAGGGACCCGAGCAGGCTGGAGGTTTCTGGCCAAGGGTCCCTCCCCCATGAGACCCACACACCTGTCCTATGGATAGGAGAGGGCAAGAGTGAGATGACTCTGGAGACTGGGCGCCTCTTTTGCCCACAAAGCATCCTAGTTGTGTAACCTGGAGCAAACCTCTCAAACCTCGACATTCTCATCAGTAAAATGGGGATCTTAAGAGCCATTCAGGCTGCTGTAGTGAAATGACACTAACGATGATGGCAGTAGCTGTTTGTTGAGCACCTACTACACACGAGGCACTATTCCAAGTCCTTTACACTAGTTCTCACCTAACCATATGAATTAGGCACTGTTAGGAACCTCGGATTGGAGGTGGAAAAGCTGAAGCACAAAGCCATTAAGTAACTACTCAAGACCACAGTTGGGAAGTGGGACATCTCAGGTGGTCTGGCCCCAGAGCTCATACCCCTCATCACTGCACAGATGCAGGGCACTGAAAATGCTGCTTGTGACGTAACACAGGCTGTCAAAGCTGGAAGAGCCGTAGCAGGCTCGAGTGCACTGAGCCCAGACAGGCTGAGAGAAGCGGGCTGTTACTCATTATGACCTGACTGCACACCAGGTGCTCTGCTCTCCAGGTGGCCTCACCAACCCTGACTCCAGTGCCGTGAGATGGACATGATTACACTCCCCAACCAGCTGATGGGGAAATGGCTCTCAGACGTGAAGTGACTTCCCTGGACTACACGCCGAGTGCACTTGGGAAGCGGGATCTGACGGCAAGCTTATCATTTTTCACTTTACCACCCAGGGTCACATTTCACATCTTCCCTGGCAGTAATTTTATAATCGCACTCTGTCCACCCCCATGTCCCTCTCCTCTAATCCCTCCGCCTTGTTCAAGCTGGGCTTGACTGTGTGGCAAACCTCACCTCAAAGGGACAATGAGTGGCAGCACAGTGGGTGACTTCAGGATGGTAGAGTGCCTGGCTCATGACTCCCCTTCTCTCAAAGATGGTTTTCTCCTTGAACTTCCGGGAAGCAGAGAGGGTCTTGAGGAAGTGCGTGAGAAGGATGGAGACAATGGAAGGGTAGGGGCTCATAGGCTAGCACGGACAGTGAGGAGGGAGCGAAGTAGGGGAGAAGCAAGGAATGACGAGACAGCAACAGCAAAGACCAAGGACCAAGGACGGTCCCTCAGGACTGGGTCCCTTCACGGCTGTCTGGGCGACACGACAAGTCCTGCGTGGCCTCTGCCAGCAGAGGGCGCCCAGGGCCTTTGCATCAATCAGCTCTCCCTGGAGGCAAAACAGGATGGAAATGGCTGTGCTGGGAAAGTTCCCCTGGGCTGAGGACCTCAGACAGAACCCAGACAGCAGCTTCAGAATCCACCCACTAGGGGAAGGTGACAAGGAGGATGGCACAGTGCTGGCTTAAACTCAGTTGACCCGAAATCAAATTCAGATTATTGGAGTTTGCGTGGGTGTACATTCGTGTGGGGGTGTGTGTGTGTGTGTGTGTGTACTACCAGGCAACTAACTAATCCTAATAATAGGAAGACAGGAAGAAGAGTAAGTAATATTTGCTTATTGATCATATTTGTTAATCATCAGCTATGTTCTAGGTACTGTGCCAAGATGCGTGTGTGTGTGTGAGATTTTAACCACATGAGAATTCTCTAACTACTATTATTACTCCCATATTGTAGATGAAGAAATGGATACTCAAAGAGGTTAAGGAGCTTGTTCAACTGAAGTCCACAGTTGGGAAGTGCAGTGGGGCTCCTAGTTTAGCGCCTGGTTCCCAGTAAACACGCGTTCAGTGGATCATTCCACAGCCCATGCTCTTGATCACGCAGATAACCTGAGACCAGGCAGCTCTGTAGTTAACCACCAGAGGGATGCGCTTTTGTGCCCGCGGATGGGGCTGTATGCACATGTCTTTGTGTGTTTGCACAAGTGGATGTCATGTCTCAAACAGAAAAAGGGCTGTGTTTCTTGAGACAAACATCTCCCCCCAAATATCCATGAAAACAGTTCAATCTCAACTGACGTTATATAGAAACAATTCATCAGATTTTTTAAATAGCAGATCCTGGGCCCTGGGGACTCAGGAGCACTCTGGGAGAGGTCTCTTTTATTCCACAAACATGTACTGGGGTCTCCCGCGCTCCAGGGGCAGATCTGCACACCAGGGGTACAGCAGTGGAGAATCAGAGGAGGTGCCTGGAGGAGCACGAAGCACAGACTGAAGGTCTATGAGGTCTTCACCGTCCAGCCCCTGCCTATTCTTTCTACCTTGTTTTGGGAACCACTGCCCCCTGCACTGTTCAGCCGCACTGACTGGCTGTAAGTTCCTCTCCTGGGGCACACTCACTTCCCACAAAAGGTCCACTTGGGATGTGCCTTCTCTCTGGAAAGCTCTTGCCCACCACTGCCCTGAACCAGGCCAACTCCTACTTGTCACTCAGACCACATGTAATTTCTCTGCCCTTGAGAAACCTTCTCAGAGTCCATTCTCCTGTTGCACCCTTTCATAGCATCCTGCCCTATTCTTCCATGAAGAGCTTCAGAGTTCCTGACCCAGACGTGCTCACAGGGACCTTGTGGGATACCTACCTCTTTCACTAGACTGTGCGCTCCATGGGGGCCAGGGCTGTGACTGTCCCCCTCCCCAGGGCCTCACACACTGCAAACCGCATGCAAAGTAGGTGCTCAATGAACATCTTTTGAGGCAGTAAAGGAAGGAAACCCAGACAAAAGTAATGTGTGCACAACCTTCATAGAGTCCTTTCTGATATTTGGTTACAGGGTCCCAGGACACCTCAGGATCTAAGGGATGTTGGGGATTTT